TTTTTTATTTATTACATCATATCTTATCATTATTTATTTCTTTTTCTTTGTTTAAATATTCATTCTGTCATCAATTCCGTGCAGGCCGTTAAATATATACACAAGTATATCTATAAAGGCCATGATCGAACCACTATGCAATTTGGGCGTGAACCAGATGAGATTAAGCAGTTTATCATGCAAGATACATTAGTGCTCTGGAAGCAGCATGGCGACTGTTTGGAATGCATTTACATGAAGAAGTACCAAATGTTGTGAGACTTGCGTTGCACCTTCCAGGAATGCATCAGGTTGTTTATGATCCAAATGATGAAGCTGCAATTATTCTATCCCGTGCAGACCGTCAGAAAACAACCCTAACCGAATTTTTTGAGACTTGTGCTACTATAGAATTTGCATGACGATACACTTATCAAGAATTTTCGCAACATTTTGTGTGGAATAAAAATACAAAAAAATGGTCAGTTCGAAAAAAAGGGTTGCTATTGGTAGAATATACTTTGTGGACCTATTAGCTGGAGAACGGTTTTATCTACGACTTTTACTTACTGTCGTCTGTGGTCCACAGTCATTCAAGCATCTGAGAACTGTTAATGGTGTTGAATGCCCAACATTCAAAAGTGCATGCATAGCTCTTGGCCTGCTAGAAGATGATGATGAATGAAGTCAATGTTTAGAGGAAGCTTCTATTATGTGCAATAGCTCACAATTGAGATCACTTTTTGCAGTTATTCTAATCCAATGTATACCAACGTATCCAGAGAGATTGTGGTTAAATTTTCGTGCCAATATCTGCGATGATCTCTATTATCGGTTACATAATGAGCATGCTATTGCAGAACCAACTAAAGACCAAGTGTATGACTATGGGCTATTTTTAATTGATGAAATCTTACATAATTCAAATATGTCACTTGCTATGTGTTCTTCAATGCCTCATTGGGACTGCAATTGGGGCCTTTATTGTGGAAATCGTCTTATTGCTAAACAATTAGCTTGGGATTATGAATGACTTCGATTATTAGTTGAAAATCGCATTCAACAACTAAATAACGACCAAAGTGCTGCATATTACAGTATTTATAGCTCAATAAATAATGAACATAGCCAACTATTTTTTCTCAATGAAGCTGCTGGAACCGGAAAAACTTTTGTTTACAATATACTTGCTATGAAAGTTCATAGTGAAAACAAAATTGTGATTTGTGTAGCTTCTTCAGGTATTGCAGCTCTATTACTTAATGGCGGTCACACATCTCACTCAACCTTTAGAATTCCCATTGCAGTTACTGAAGACTCTTTTTGCTCAATTGATAAAAATTCTGACCTTGCCGATTTAATGCATCAAACCGCACTTATTATTTGGGACGAAATACCTTTACAGCATCGTTATTGTCCCAAAGCCATTGATCATTCCTTACGTGATATTCGCAATGATGAACGACCATTTGGAGGAATCACAGTTGTATTTGGCAGTGACTTCTGCCAAATCTTGCCAGTTGTTGTAAAAGGATCAAGAGAACAAATAGTTGGTGCTTCGTTACAATGAACATACTTATGGCAACATGTAAAAATTATTATATTGCATCAAAATATGTGATTAGAAACAGAATCAGAAGAAAATAAACTCTTCGCAAACTGGCTTTTGGAGGTAAGATTGTGTTGACGTGTTTGAGCCAAATATGTTTTTAGTATATGTTATCATATTTAATTTTCTTAGATTGGAAATGGAACAAATACCTCAGAATTACAAAATATGATTTCACTTCCTGATCACATGCAAGTTGGCCCCAACATATGGTATCTTATTAACTCAGTTTATCCTAATATAGAACATGGAATACTAAATGACGATTATTTAAGAGACAGAATGATTTTATTTGCCCGTAATGATGACGTTCAAGATATTAATTATGCTGTTCTTGATATGTTTCCTGGAGATGACCGTATGTATTTAA